CCGGGATCTAACTCAGGGACTTGTGCTTGGAGACAGTGCCCACCCACCCTACAAGCCAAGTCCCAAATTTTAAAATTAGCTAAAATTCCTTTCATGAATATAGGAAATGTCAGATAAACCCTTTATGCTCCAAGAATTTCCTAAATATACATTATATCATAATATGACATAATTGCTGGACATTTTAATTAGTTTTTAATTAGTTCTAGGGCTTAGGAAAGGGAAAGTATTGTTAGGGATGGTCTTTTCTGTGTATGTGCCAGTACTTTTTGGTAATTTTAATGGGCTACCATTGGATTATACTCACTGTGGTCTAATTCCTCTTTTTTTGTCCTGGGAAGGAATCGAACCTGGGTCCTTGCGCTTGTGAGGCAGGTGCCACTGAGCTAAATCCCTGGCCCTAATTCCTCTTTTTGTTCCAGTATCTTGACTAGGAAAGTTGATTGCCAGAGTGAAAGTCTTAGGATAAGAAGTAGTTTTCACTAGGTAAATCTTCCCCAAGATCTAATGCCATGTCCCTTTTCTCTCTCACACCATGCTCTGAGCAGCTATGGGAGGTGATTCCACCATTTGTGGGCTTTTCCTGAGGAAAGCTAGGCCAGCTAACAGCTAGGAAGCAGACGCAGTTTACAGAAGCTCTATGTTGTCATAGATCATCATGGTGATGTGTGGTAATTGAAGCCCCATATGGGCAAGGAAAAATTTAGGCATGTCTTTGCTAGACAAGTAGGCTTTAAACCAGACTAGAGTTGACAAAAGGGTTGATGGAGAAAAAAGTAGTGTGGGCCACTGAAACACAGAATTTAATTTTTAAAAACAGTTATATAATGCCTGAGACCAGTCTAAAGGTAGATCACAATCAAGGTATTAACATATTGACATAAAGAAAGAATAGGGCAGCACAAGGAATTTAAGAGCAGAAGTACCACGTAACACAGCTGGTGTTTAAGTCAGGCAGAAGCTGAGAGTGTTCCACAGCACTGTTAAGAGAGAGATCTTCAGCCATGACTCTAGCTGTGTCACAGGCTGGATGGTATGCAGGAAGCACCCTGAGCCTCTTTGTGCTGGTGTTGTGCTCACCAGACAACCTTCTCTTCATCCCTGAGCTTCTAGGGAGGCCTGCTGAAGGAAAGGAACCAGCTGGTCATTGCACATCCACTTACTGTTGCCATATATTGTAAGTGAGTAAATGAGCATTCTACTGTGTACATGTACATCAGAAGTATACTGAAAGCATAAGATGGGAGTTTCCCTGTTCTTATAGACCCAGATCTTAGTGCCTACAAAATTAAGAACCAAGCCTTGGATATGTGTTCATGTTGTTTTGGGGATCAGACATCTGACTTTTCCTTAGGTGACCCCCCTTTTGCTACCCTGCTGAAGATATATTTATGTGGAGCCGATGTTGAAAATCTCTCTGTGTAGGGTCAGAGAATTTCGCTCATTGGCACCTCACCTGCCTTGCAAGCTCAAGGTCCTGAGTTTGATCCCTGGTACAAAAAAGAAGAAGAAGAAGAAGAAGAAGAAGTAGAAACTCTCAGTATAGTTCACTGTATTAACAGAACAAAGCAAATACACCATCTGTTTTTGTCAACATAGCCAGAAAAAAAACTTTTGAAAAAATTCAACACCCATTCAAGATAAAAATTCTCAGAAAACTTGAAATAGGGGAACTTCATCAACCTGATAAAGAGCATCTATAAAAATACCTATAGCTAACATCACACTGTCAGTTCTCTTTAGATTGATTTATAAATTCATTTTAATCCCAGAAAATCCAACCAAATCTTTATGTAGAAATTAAATAGGCACTCACTGTGGTCTAATTCCAAAATTCTAAAATTTTACATAAGGATATAAATACATGGAATAACCAAAGCAAATTAGAAGGGCTTTTGCTGCCTGATTTCAGAACTTGCATACAGCTATAGTATCATGACAGTGAAGTCTGGCATGGGGACAGATGTATAAAGTGATGAAGCATACTGGAGAGCCCAGATACAAACATGCATTCATAAGATTAATAGACTTTCAGCAAAGGTTCTAGGGTAATTCATAGAAGGGAGAATCTTATTAGCTGTTGATGCTGGAACAACTGGATATCTCTATGGGAAAAAATAAATCTCATGGGCTTAGACACTACCCACATCTTTTTCTCTCTTCTTCTGGGACTCCAGTTACATGTATGTTAGACCACTTGATATTGTCCCCCAGGTGAATGAGGTACTTTTATTTATTTCAGTCTCTTCATCCTGTGCTTCATTTTGGGTATTTTGCTTTGTCTTTAGGTTGACCGATCTTTTCTTCTGCAGTACTTAATCTGCTCTTAATCTTATGCTGTGACCTTTTTGTTTCAGTGTTTTTTTTGTTCGTTTGTTTTTTTAGTCTGTATAAGTTGAGTTATTTGTTGTTTGGTGGGTATTTTGTTTTGTTTTGTTTTGAGACAGGGTCTATGTAGTTTAGGCTGGCCTTGAAGTCACTCTAGTCCAGGCTGGGCTCATACTCATGGCAATCCTGCCCCAATCTCTGGAGTGCTGGAATTACAGGCATGCACCACCATGTCATGCTTGAGTTCTTTTTTACATCTTATTTTTCTCCTTGGTATTTTCATATTCCCCTTTACATCTTTGAGCATATAGAACATGTCTATTTTTACATTCTTGTCTGCTAATTTCATCATCTTTGACGAATTTTCATCTCATGGGCTTAGACACTATATTATATATGCAATATTTTTGTTTTGAATATTGCATTTTGCTTTCAAGTACTAGGTGATGTAATCTTTCAACAACTTGAGATAATTTCTTGTGGGTCAGTGTGATGCTTCCCAATTTTGTGTTAAAAGTTCTTTTAGGATGGATCTAGAACAGCCTTTACATCAGGACTAATTTAGCACCATGTCTGAGGTACAGTCATTCTACTTCTTTCCTGAATGTGTGGTGTATTCTTTGAGGCCTCTCCATTCTGGCCTGTGGAAAGCCTAAACAGTCCCCAGCCCTATATAAGCTCTAGGAATCACTGGGCTTCTCCCTGTGCACAAGCAGGCTGTTCTTTAGCCAGAGAGTCAAGGGAATCACTATGCAGACTTCTTTTTCTCTGTGTAGCCTCCATCTCTTGGTTACTTGGCCTAGCAGTTGTACCAGCCTTTGTTTCTTGAATCTCTGTGTCTGGGCTCGGTTTGGGTTCCCTTATATAGTTCCCAGCCTTTAAGGTGACTCCTGGTGTTCAGTCCCCTGCCACATTAAATCAGAATTGGTCTTAGTAACTAGTAGAATATTGCAGAAGTAGTGTGTATCACTTCTGAGGCTACATTACAAAAGATACTCGGCTCCTTCCCTGAATTTTTGCTTGGGGGAAGCCAGCTGCCACATTGTAGGTACGCTCTCAACAAGCTTTCATAACTGGAGACTTCAACCTTTTCATTCTGATCAGTCACATCACCCAGAACTTGAAACAATTGATACTGGCTCATTATATTCAAAATAAAGGCTATGTTCCTTGCCAGAGCTAGAGCACTCATGGATTTTCCCCTGCTCTAAGTCCTCCCTGTCACTCTAATTCATGTTCTAACCATAGTGAACTACCTTCAGGTGGTCACACTCAACTGTGCGTTTGCATATGCTTTCTTCCTTCCTCTTCACCTGGGTGACCTCTGCTTCTCCTCCTCTGCTGTTAGCCTGAGGAAGTGGTCCTACATGCTCTCCTAAAATATCTTAGGTGCCCTGACCAGGTTTCCAGTGGCACTCTGAGAACTCTGTTTCCTCCTTCGGTTTATTAACAGTGCCTATTTCATTGTTAACCCTCTCCTCCCCAATACCTCTTAGGTCGTGGGCGGCAATTATTCTTGTTTACTATCATGACCTTTTCTGGCAACTCATTCAATATAAGTGAGTAGCAAGAATATTTTAGACTGATAAAGCCATTACTTAGTTGAGCCTAGTATTGGACAGATGAATAGCGTTATGGCAACTTTTGTTAGCAATGATAGTTTAATGAATTTGTCTCATTTTGTAGTGACTTTTTAGAGAAATTAAGTAATGCCTTTCTTACTCATCTTGACATTAAAGTGTCCTATTTTAATTGTATTCTTGAAACCTTAAGTTTACACTGGACTATAGATAGTGTTAATGTAAAACAAGACTTTCTTTTTTCCAAACAGTTAAGTCATTCAGTTGTTCTGGGCCTGTGAAGTTTACCATAGAGTGGCATTTGAAGTATCACACCTGTCACAATGAGTATTCTGACCTGGAAGTAAGTAAAATACAACTGTATATAAAATTGCAATGGAATATTAATCAGTATAAAGATTATTAGCTCATCAAAGGAGGAGGCTAGAAATAGAAATTGTGATTTTAAAATGCCCCAGATCAATTTTGGTGCACAAAGCAAAAAGTTAAAGTATATGCTTTCTGAGAAGACTGTAAACCTTTCTGTTTTCTTGTATCTTACAACAATTTTAGTAAATGCTTAAATTGGACTCATAGTGACCATTGATAAAAGGAACAGTAGATCCCATATAAATGAAAATCAGATGAATCAAAAAACTAGTTATAGGGTACCTGTAATTTTTATGAGTTCAGGATGGTCTCAGAGGTAAGGAGAATCTGGGTTGAGGCCACTGTATGGGGGAAGGAAAAGAGGCCAGGCTGAGGAGGCTTATCCTGCCCCATGATGGCACTCAGAGGCGCGGGTTCACACCTTGTGTGTGTGGTGGGGAATATGTGCCAGAGTCCTGTGTCACTCAGCAAGGTGTTTCATGGATGATTCTCACAATAGCTAATCAGAATTGTTTGCTATATCAGCTTCTCCATTACCTGCTTGGCTTCTATCCTGAGTAATACATGGATATCTGTATTCTTATTAGTATTATCTTCCATTTGGAGTAAAAGATTCCAATTTCCTTGAATACTGCTTATTTGACTTTATCCCTATTTTAACCCTTCACTCTAAATAATTTAGTGCATATTTCCTAAGTGTATGTATTCATTTAGATTACGTAGTATAATATCACATTTAGAAAATTTAACATTGATATAATACTGTTATCTAATATAGGCCTTATTAAAATTCCATCAGTGTCCCCAATAATATATATATATTTTGGGGGGGGGTACCAGGGATTGAACTTGGGTCCTTGCACTTGCGAGACAGGCCACCAAACCGCTGAGCTAAATCCCCGGCCCCCAATAATATATTTTATAGCAGTTTTTTCTCCTCTAGTGTAGGACTCATTGCAGGGTCATATTACATTATCTTTCCTTATTTAGAGACAGGGGTCTTGCTACCTTGCTAAATTATATAGGCTGGCCTCCGACTTGTGACTGTCCTGCTTCATCCTCCCAGTGTCCTGGGATTATAGGCGTACACTACCATTCCTGGTGACAGTGATATTTTTGAAGTATATATTTTTGTAAAATATCCCTCAGTTTGAGTGTTTCTGATGTTTCTTCATGATGAGATGCAGGTTATATATTTTGGGTTGCATACCATAGAATACTGGTTTGTCCCATTTTTTATTATGTTAATTTGATCAATTGATTAAGGAGATTATCTGCCAGGTTTCTCCATGACGAAGGTACTACTTTTTTCTATGTTATTAACAACAATTTGTTGGAAAACAAATTTTTTTTTTTTCCATTCTGGGGAATGAACTCAAGACCTTGTGGTTGTGAGGCAGGTGGTGGCACCACTGAGCTAAATCCTCTGCTCTGTGGGAAAATATTTTTGAAGCTGTGTAAATATCTATTTCTTCATCAGACATTCATCCATTTATTTTATCATCCTTTTGTGATTCTGCCTGATGAATCACTAAATGATCACTAATGACCACTAAATGAAGATTTTTCTAATCCCATATTTTCTTCTACATTTATTAACATCCTGTACTATATGGTGTGTATATTTTCCTCTAGTGGCAAAACTTTTAGAGCTTTCAGAGATAGCAAACAGCCAGCTGTGGCACACATGCTGGTTTCACCACCAATGTGGTGTTAATTAATTAATCATCAGTCTGGACACATTTAATTTTTAAATTTTTACTTTGCCATATGTTGTAGTCTACTCTATTATTTTTCTTACATATTTTGCTCATGATCTGTTTGGTCAGTGAGAGCCAACCTGCCTTGGTGCCTGGGAGCTGCTTTTAGGAGCTTGACTTGTTTATAATTCTAGAACCCCCAGGCTGTTGAGGTTCCCTGAGCTCAGTTGGAACAGTTGCATTTGCTTTCTGTTACTGTTTGGTGATTAAATGCTATTTTCTTACTCTGTAAAATCCTTTACACATAGGACAAAATCTTACCTTATTTTTCTGGGGACTATTTGTTTGTGGTGGTTCCTTAATCACTTGTATTATTATTAAATCTGAACACATTGGACTAAAATGTTATGAATGTTAGATTGTTAGAATTACATTCAGAACTTTTTTTTCCTTGGTGTTTTGTTTTACCTCATTTTTTCAAGAATTCTAAACAATAAAATCTTGGTATTATTTAGATATTAAGTTTTATTTATCTTCTAGGGAAAGAAGTGTGGAAATAAATTATAACATAGAATTTTACCTTGAGTAGGAGAGGTTCCAAAAACATGAACTTCGTGTTGATGAAGATCTTTGTGGTTATTTGAAGAACATTGACTGTTGGAAAACAAAAAATGAAAACTTAGATTGCAACAGTGATTTACAGGTGTTTCCTTCACTGAATGTGAGTATATACCATTTTAAAATAGAGTTCATTCTATGCACAGTAAATACAAATATCAATTTAAATAATGTTTTGTCAGTGTTTTAATAAAGAGGAATTCAATTTGTTGATTCTCAGTTTTAGGAGTTTTGTGTGTGTAGTAGTCTTAAAACCCAACTCTCCCCTCCCCTCCTCTCCCCTCCCCTCTTTTCTTTCTTTTTTGATACCAGGGATCAAACTCAAGACCTTGTACTTGTGAGCACGTGTGATACCACTAAGCTAAACCCCTAGTCCCTTCTATTTCTTTGTGCCTCTTTGTAGCAGCATTCTTGTGTCCTTTTATAGTCCCTGTCTTTAATTTATCTCTTGTTTTTTCCAGTTGCACTCAGGCCTTTGCCCCCATCATCCCATCAAAACAGACCCTATCAACCCACCAGTGAGTGAGTGCGTGTTGTTAAATACAGTAATCTGTGGCTCGTATCAAAGGCCTTGACCTGTCAGCATCATTTAATCCAGTTGATCACACCCTCCTTTATGCCTCTTCTCCTGCCTAACAAGTTAGGTTGTAAATGCAAGCATCCCTGGAAAGGGAAGCCTATAAGGCTATTTTAACTTATTTTTGTTCCTCTGAAAATTCTGAAGTGAAAATATGTCCACTAGTAAAAATTTAAAGGAGATTTTTAAAAAAACTTGTGTATAAGTACATAGTATTACATATATAGAAGAGTACACATAAGTACATACATCAATGAATTTTGAAAAGACTGAGCATATCTGTGTAGATCCAGATCAAGTACAGAATGTTTTAGCAACTAGAACTTCCTTTTTTCTTTCTTTCTTTTTTTTTGGTACCAGGCGGAACCACTGAGCTAAATCCCTGGCCCCTAGAACTTCCTTTTCTTTCCTAACACTTAACCCACCAATAATAAACACTACCCAGTAGAAAATCCACTATTAAGGAAATAAGTTGTAAAAAGCAGAATTCTGTGACTCATGTTCAAAGTACAGTTAGATTTGTTCTCGAATGTTCAGCTTTCAAATCTTTATTTTCTTGTAATTTTTTATTATTAAAACTTTTCTACACAAGTGCAATAATATAGAATTATTTTATTCTTTTTTTTTTCAGAATAAAGAACTAACAGGTAGCAAAAACATTTCAGACCAGGAAGGATCAATGGTAACCATTTTACTTGTCATTAAATAAAATATGTACAAATTATAGTAATATTCAAAAAATCTTAACAATGGACGGAATGGTAGGGGTTATTAAAATTGGAAAAGAAAAACTATTTAAAACAATATATTTTCTCATTCATATATATATATATATATATATATATATATATATATACACACACACACACACAACATATATTCATATATGTTGTATATGCATATATATACATATATGCAAAATTTTGTGTGTATATATATTTATTTGTTTGTTTGTTACTGGGGATTAAACTTTGGACCTTGTGCTTGCAAGGCAGGCAGCAGAACCGCTGAGCTAAATCCCTGGCCCAGTATATATAATGTCACAAGCATGTAACTGTCTTATTTCAAAATCTCTTTCAAGTTGTAATATAAGATTAACTTCTAGGGTGGTGGTGCATGCTTGTAGTCCTGGCACTTGGGAAATTAAGACAGGGGAATCACAAGTTAAAATGGGCATCATCTATATAGCCAGTTCAAGAGTGGCCAACACTATATAAGACCCTGTCTACAGAATAATTAGCTTTTGTTCAGTCTTTCTTTTCTTGAAAAAATAGAATTCTACTTCTGAATGTGCAAGATAACATAGCAGTGGGCCACTGTCAACATTAAAGTTATAGAAATGGAAACCATGAATGTAGTATGGTGGATAGCTTTGGGGGAAATTTGCTATTTTGTGGGATTTCCAGGACTGAGAAGACTGAAGGAGTTACATGTAGGTTTAGGAGAGCTCATTGTTTGCTTTTATACTGTGACTTTTCACATTTCCTTTTCAGCCATCCTAAAAATCTGGTGATGGTGAGCAGGTGTTCACTCTGTAGTGGCTGGGACAGACTGCATATAAACTCTGCTTTATGGAGAAGAAAGGAATAAAAAACATTTAGGAAGGTAGAATGTGACAAGTTTGGTCCAGTTATGTGGGACCATTGGAGACTCAGAGAAACTACAGTGGCAGTTTTGTTACTTAGAGGGACCACAAATAACATAGTACCTGAAGAAATTTGAGTCATTTAGCCTATGTAAAGTTGGCCCTTGGGTCTGCATCCATGGATTCACATCCATAGATACTAACTGTACACCAAAATATTTAGAAAGAATATTCTGTACTGAATACATACAGACTTTTGTCATTTCCTAAACAATATAATATAGCCACTATTTGCATATCATTATATTAGGTATTACAGGTAACGTAGGCATTAATTTACAGGAGGATGTACATAAATTATATGCAAACCACATGCCATTTTATAGAAGGGACTTGAGCATCTGTGGATTTTGGTAGCAGCTTCATGGTGTGTTGTTGGGGGACAGATCCTAGAATCCCCCCATTGACAACTGAAGGGTAGCTATCCTTAGTCTGACTCATTTCGACAACATTGACTTCTCCCTCAGCTCTGTTATTGAAAAAACGTGCAGTTAAAACTGAATGCTTAATAATAATTATCTACTATTGAGCATTTAGTTTTAACTGCACCTTTTTGCACGTTTGCAATATTTGAATCACTATCAAAGCATAAAATGGTAGTAATATGGGAGAACCTACAGAAATATAAAAAGACATTGAAGAGTAAGAAGACCCTTTTTCTTCCTCTATCCCTGTTGGGTCTGGGAAGATGGTGGTTAAAAAAAGAGCGGGGGGGCATTATCTTCCCTACAACTTCTTTTCTCTTTCTGTCTTTGTTTATTCAAAGTAATCTAATTAACAAAAATTACTTTACAGTGTGGTCACCAATTGGGTAACTATATCTTATGTAGCAGTTTGTTGAAAATAACAGTTTTCCCCTCTATTTCAGGATGTTGTAGCAAGAACACAGAGAGATGGGTTTCATATCTTTATTGTTTCTATTAAAACGGAAAAAACAGATGTCAGCTGGAATTTAAATGGTATAGTTAAACTGCATGCATATTTGTTCACTGTTTGCATTTTTTTGTTCTATATAGTGTTATTCAACTGAATGTCCATTTTCTATTTAAGACATATCTTTCAGAATTGGATTTCTATTGGTGACACATTTTGAGAACTTTTAAAAAACTAATTTTTTGGGTGAATGGAAATTTTTATTGTTAGCTGAAGATAACTTTTTAGAAATTAATTTTATTTCTAGTTGGACGTGGTTGTATACCCTGTCATCTCAGCTCCTTTGGAGTCCAAAGCAGGAAGATTGCAAGTTCAAGCTTTGCCTGGGCAACTTAGAAACAAAAAAATAAAGAGTTGAGGATATAGCTAAGTTTGAAGGCCCTAGCTTCAATCCCCAGTACTGCAAAAACAAAAAACTAAACCAAAAACACTTTTGTTGACAAATAATTATATATATTTAACATAAATTTTTATAATTCCAACCTTCATAGTGTGATATAAAATATTGTCTTTCAGATTTAAAAAATTTAACATACAGAAATGATTAAACAATTTTTTATTGAATTTAAAGTAGACTATATTCTTTCTTGAAAATAGCTGTCTGAGGATTTCAGATGTAATTTGTAAAGTTTATTTTAAGGACTATGGCCTAAGAGTAGGAATAGCATGTCTGCCAGCTGTGGCTCTTGTGGATTCTGAGGAACCCCATCCCACACCTCTACCCTTGGGCCTGATTCGGCTGTAGTTAAATTCTGGTCTTTATAATGAGCCAGTGATAGGTGTTTTTGTTATAGCTAGGTGGCAGGATGGTGGCAGGATCCCTGTTCCCTCTATTTGGAACAGTCTCCAGGAGGAAGCCCTACTTCACATTCTTTCAGAGCAGCCACTGCCACCAGCAGGCTCATAATAGGTAATTTTTGAGGGAATTAACACTTTCACGGATGCCAGAATTACTTTGGCTGATGTTGTCCAGAGTGGTATTGAGGCCTACAGTAGCCAAACAGCCTCTGAAAATCCTGGTCATTTGCATGAGGCAAAACAGGCATCACTGCAGGGGTGTGGAGTGGGTGTGCCCCACTGTGCAGGGAAGAAAGCTATGGTGGTAGCCACTCTGGAAGAGTGTGACAGTGTTTCCTCCTGGAGATTCCCAAACAGAGGGAGCAGGGACCTTCACACTGTCTCATTACCTAGCTATAACAAAATACCCAACACGGGTAGTTTATAGAGAACAGAGTTTTGGAGGCTAGAACTTTCAGGAAGTCCTGGTAGGTTTGGTCCCTGGTGCCTGGTGAGGGCCCATGTCTGCTTCTAGGGTGGTTTCATGAATTCTGTGTCCTCATGTGGTGGAAATTCTGGAAGAACAAAAGTGGGTGAAAATAATGTCCTCACGTGAGGGGTGGTAAAAGATCTAAAAAGGGCCTAATCTATTTCCTGCCAGCCTTTTCATAAGAATGTATTCATGAGGGACTTTCTAAAAAGTCTCACTTTTTAAAATTTATCTATTTATCTATCTATTTATTTTTGCTGTGCTGTGGCTTGAACCCAGTGTTTCATGCATAATAGGAAATGCTTTATCACTGAGCTGTGTACCCAGCCCAAGGCTCTACTTCTTAATACCACCACAGTGGGGATTAAGTTTCAACACATGAATTCGAGGGTCATTTGGACTAGTTTTGTGCCCTTGCCCTGATGCCAGCAGGCAGTTCTAAGTCTCTGCTGGTTGGACGATGTAGCTATTTATTGCCCAGTCTTGCCTGATTTGCATGCTTATTTATTGCCTTCTCAGGGGTCAGTGATTTATCCCAAGTTGCATTATGGACAAGAAGGTCCTCGGTGATATCAGTGAATTAACAAGAGGGCCAGTCTGGGATCTGGTTTTATTAACTAGTACTAGTTTCTTCCTGTATAAGATCAGAGTCCATGCAAGTCTTTACAAGAGTGTAGATAT